GAACAGGCAGATCTCTGTGATCCACAATGTCGTCGATGTCCACTTGACCATCCATGGTTGGGGGCAGCATTGATCTCCTCGAAGGGAATTGATCTGTCTCAGCGAAAGGTGCAAGCTTTGAGGCATGAAAGACAGGGTGAGTGCGTAGGTGTCCAGGGATACAGATTACATAGGTAGTACCATCCATCTCATCCCCCACTACATACAGGACTTCCCAGGGACCAAAATACTGAGGCATTAGTTTACGAGAGATCCCGAATTCCTGTCCTAGCTCACTAGCCTTGACCCGGACACGTTCCCCTACCTGAAATGAGGACTGTCGCCGATGCTTGTTCTTAGAAGCAATCATTGCTTGCTGAGCTTTCTTGATGTGCTCGACAGCTTGCTGCAGCAACTTCTCATACTGCACACCATACTCAAGTGTGCCTGGAGTTGCATAGGATCGGTTTTCAGGTAGGAGGAAGTCTAGAGCTGATATAGGCTTCCATCCCAAGTGCAGCTGATTAGGACTGACGTCGGTACTACTGTGTACAACGTTGTTGTACAGACTGGCGATGAGAGGCAACTTCTCATCCCAATCATCCTGGCTGGGCTTGATGTAATGCCTCAACAAGTGTTGTACAACTCTGTTCATTTGCTCGGCCTGCCCGTTGGCTTCGGGATGATTCCCTGAAGTCATCTGAAGTTGACTGCCCATATGCTCAGCAGTCTTCTTCCACAACTCACTTGTGAATCGGACATCTCTGCCACTAGCGATTGACTTTGGAAGTCCAAAATCACGCACCCAGTTGTCCATAAACAACTTGATGACGTGGTCAGTCCTGGCGGTCTCTGGCATGGCAACTAGTCTAGCGTACTTGGTGAATCGATCGATGATGACGAAGATGTGCCTCTTGCCACTCTTACTGGTCACCAGGGTGTCCATGAAATCCATGGAAACACTGTGTCCTGGACCAGCGGGGATAGGTAAGGGCTTCAACAACCCAAGCGATGCTTAAGTTCGCGGCTTGTCCCACTGACAGACCTGACAGGTCTCTACATACTTCTTTGCGTCATCTAGCATTCCAGGCCACCAAAAGCGTTGTACTAGATTGACACTTGTCTTTTTGTAGCCGAAGTGCCCAGTTGCGTCATGACATTCCCCTAGAAATAAACTACGCAAACTCTCACTCGATGGAACTACTAACCTTTTACACCTGGCCTTATCAAGAAAGAGTAACCCATCCACCATCACAAACTCACTTTCTGTGGCCTTGTCTTTTGCCTGAAGTTTGCGCATGATGTCCATCATGACAGTGTCTTCCTGATATGCTCCCACCAATGATTGAGTTACTTCCTCAGATACACCAAACTCAGAAACTAGCGCCCCTAGGTAGTCTGCTCTATGAAATAGCGCATCTGCAACCTTGTTGTACTCTCCCTTCAGATACTCAAGCTTGAAGTCATACTGATCTATGACCTCCATCCAACGCTTGAGTGCATCAGAAAGAGCCGGTTGAGTCTTGATCCATTTGAGGGTTTGATGGTCAGTTCTCAAGTAGAAGAACCGTCCCAGCAGGAAGTGCCTCCAATGGACAAGGGCTTTGTAGAGAGCGTAGAGTTCCCTTTCGTAGGTGGACTTCGCCAATTTCTTCGATGGCATTTTCTTGCTCACGTACTCAATCGGTCTCAACTTCTTCCCATCCTGCTGAGCCAGCACTGCGCCAATGCCGTATTGGCTTTTGCGTTAGTGGTCACTATGAATGGCTTTTGAGGATCGGGAACCATGAGAACCTCATGATTCATGAGTGCATGGTTCAATCATTTGAAAGCAGCCTCGCACTCATCACTCCAGTCCCACGGCGTGTTAAGTCGAGTTAGATCTGTCAAAGGAGAGGTGATTGTAGAATAGTTCTTTACGAAGTTCCTATAGTAGCCGCACATTCCTAAGAAAGATTTGACCTCAGTAACAGTCCGAGGTCGTGGCCAGTCTCTTATACTAGCCACCTTCGCATCTTCCGGCCTAATCCCTTCCGCGGATACTTCATGATCCAAGTATAAGATCTTAGTACGTCCGAACTCACACTTCTCTCGGTTGACCTTATAATTGTGTTGTCGCAAGAGTGAGTACAATATCAACGTGCTGTGCATGCTCTTCGACAGACTTACTAAAGATTAGAATATCGTCGAGATAAACAACGACAAACTTATCTAAGTGGTCATGAAAGATCCTATTCATGGCGTGCTGGAATGTACCCGGCGCGTTACAAAGGCCAAAGGGCATCACAACAAACTCATACAAACCGTATCTGGTCTGAAATGCAGCCTTGTGCTGGTCCTCAGGTCTTATAGCGATCTGATGGTAGCCGGATTTTAGATCTATCTTACTATAGTACTTACATCCCTAGACCCTATCCAATAGGTCGTCTATGCGAGGTAGAGACTCTGCGTCCTTCACTGTGATGGCATTGAGGCCTCTATAGTCAATGCACATCCTCAATGTACCCCCCTTCTTTGGTACAAATAGTAGGGGGAGGTACTCGGCCGGATCCATCCCTTCTCTGTCAGCTCTTTCAGTTGTCGCCGAAGTTCATCCAACTCGGCGGGAGCCATCCTATAGATCCTTCCCTTTGGGGTTTTACTCCCTGGAATGATTTCTATGGCGTGGACAACCTCCCTTTCTACGACTCCTGTAGGCTCCTCGAACAGATCAGGAAACTTAGCAACGACGTGTTCTATCTCTGGGGGAGTTTTAACGGCCGCCCCTTTCTCAGAGACATACACTAGGTACATACCTTCCTCTTGGTTCTGTTTGTAATAGTTATAGAACGCTAATGCACACAAGCAGCCATAGGTATCTATTATGCTACTGGCTTTGAACTTAGTCAATCTGACTGTTCTGCCGTCGGGCAACTTATGTTTTAGCACCTTCTTGTCCCAGTCAAACTGGGGCTTGGCAACCTCAAGGTAGTACATTCCTAACAACATGTCGAATGGTAAGTCATCGCTAACAAGGAACAAAATCTTATGATTAAGTTCCCCTCCTCCATAGGAGAAGGTACAGACTACGTCCTTGATATAGTCTGTGACAATCATGCGCTCCTTATTGGCCAAAGTAGACACTACGGGTCTACTAAGGTGTTGTACCCGGTCCTGTAGGTGCAGCCTTCCCAAACAGTCGCGACTTATGTAATTCCGCGTGGAGCCAATGTCTATGAAGGCACCACATTTGCGGCCTCCTACATCAACTTCCACCACGAAATGTTCCCCTCTAGGACCTTTCCTTAGTGCCACCCAAGATTCACGAGGGTCCTTGTTTGACCACTCGCTTTCCAGATCTTCTAAGGCTTCAGACACATCCAACGTACAGAGCATAGTTTGGTCTGGATGAGTCTGCGGGGTGACTAAAGATTTATTAGCTATGGCCATCTCATGAAGTGGGGAGGGTATCTGACCCACTTCACCATGAGTAGAAACAACTGAAACTTCCACCGGCCTTACGTGTTTCCCGAGCTAGAAGCCTGGGAAGAAGATGCCCCCATCTTAGGAGGTATCTTCTGCGTGACCTTTGCGTTCTGGCACTTGTACTGGGTGTGTCCGTATTCACCACAGTTAATACAAGCACCACGCACTCGGCGGTCCCGCCACACTTCTTGATCAAGACCTGCCTTGACCCAATCAACAACTTTGGTCTGATTGGAGGCGGCCTTCCCTTGACTCTTTTGATGGCCCTTCACTCGGCCACCAGCCTTAGCCTTAACTACCGCGGCGAGGGTGCTACCCTCAGCGATCTCCTCGCCGTCAAACTCTGAAATGTCCAACAGGTCGGTGAGCTCGTCGATCTCTGTTTGAGTCTCATCGGACTCAACCATCATTAATTTAGCCCCCTTCTTCTTCCATTCCTGTGGACTCTTCTTCTTCCTCGCGTCATTCTGAGAACGTTGAGCATTTCCTAGAGTGGCCTCCAAATCTAAGGCTTTTCAAGATAACGTCTCAAACGAGTGATACTCGAGGCGAGCCTCGCTGGCCAGCAAATTCCTGAGGTTCTCTGGGAGACATCTCACATATGTGGTCAACAGGAACTGGTTATCGTAGTTGATGCCTGGGACGACGATGAGGCTCTCAACGGTAGTCGTAAGCTCCCTGACTGACTTGAACTTTCTTTGGTCTAGCCTGTTTATCGCATCAGTGGCAATTTGAGCCTGATGTGGATTGTGCCAACGAGCTTCTACCATCTCTAAGAACTGGTCTAACGTAATGGTCTTAGCCCAGTCAGCCATCCGTCGTCCGTACCCGGCCTTTGAAACTAAACCATCCAGCCATTTGGCTGCCTTACCCTCAAGGTAAGATGCAACAGTAATCACCTCCTCCTCCTGCAAAGTCCTTTTCGCCTTTACCCATACCAGAACCGTTCTCAACCATGTGTTGAGTTCCTCGTCCTTCTTCTCTCCTGAGAAGGCAAGAGGCGGTTTCATAGGGGTCTTAGGGTACCATTGACCTTGCGACTGTCCCTGTTGTGGGACAGGTTGTTGCACCGCTGGACCCGAAGAAGAAGACGCAACAGTCTGTGCTGCTGCTGCTGACGTATCACTTGGTTGTGTGCCAGCTTGTACATGGAAGGGGCCTGACATCGCCGTTAACGACAACGACGACTGTGCTGCTGGCCTATATCCTGGCCTCTGCAAAAGATCCAAGATCTGGTCTAGAGAGTTCTGCATAAAGTCCAACCTGCTGTCCACGTGCGCATGCAACGACAACATATTGTTCTTCAATATTTTCAATTGGTCAGACATTGCTGACTCATCCAAACCCTCTAATGCAGCCTTGTCTGCCTCTAACGTATCAAGCCTGGCTGCTCTATTTTTAATCTCTCTTTCTCTATCGGTTGCCTGCTTCAGTTCCCTCTCTAACCGTTCGCGGATCCTTTCGACCTGTTGGAGCTCTAGGAGCTCCCTGCCGCGTGGGGTCAACGGGCTTAACTGCGAGCCCGCCATTTGACTGATAGACCGACCAGAACTCATTGAACCGGAAGTACCCGGGGACCCATGGGGCATTCCCAACAGGGTCCCTGGCGAGGATGCAGCAGCGGATGCAGCAGAGGATGCTGCTGCGCTAGCCATTGCTGCTGCGCTGGCTGCTGCTGCCTGTTCCCTAGTTGCGGCGTTTGCTGCTGCCCTAGATGCTGCTAGAGCACGGGCTCTGCGTTCAGCACGAAGCTGTCTTTCGTCTCCCTGTTGTAAGGTCTGGAACACATGCGGGAGCCCAAGTGATCGCAAACGTGTCAGTCTTGCATCGTCAACTTCACCCTCAACGGTGTTAGGCAAACACTATCTGTACTACAACTCCTTGTTGGAGTCCTACCACAGCATGTGTCTGACCAACACCTAATTTTCTAAACATAATTGTGTCCGGCAGGTCCCCTACTTTTACCGATCAAGTGGCAGCCTACAACATTCACAATAGACTGTCAACATAGTCTAGGTGTATCTTGATTGGTTCACTTACAGCAGCATTAGATAGAACTGGCTATGGTAGTATACAACAGTCCTACTCTAATCTGTCTGTGAGGTGTTAGCAGCTGTCAACCAACTAATCAAAAATAAACCAAGACCATGTTGCAGATGTATGATCAATGGGTATGGTTGTGTTTCCAGTTGAGCATCAATTAGAACCTACCCTCCCCTCAATCCAACATACCGGGAAGCATCATTGAGCAGCGGTGTCTTCGTGTGCAATGTCAGCCCACCCCTGTGCCCAAGTCGTTGCCGAGCAAGCCAGCCAGTCCACTCTTATTTACCCTCGTACGGAACGAGCCTTCCTACCCGGTTGATCTGGCTGATCAGGAGGAATTTTAGGAGAGCCCCCATCTCCTCAGGAATTATTTAACGTCGCAGTCAGGACGACGATCACAGCCAGAATCAATCCGAGTCCCCAACCAGAAATGTTTATAGACGGTCTGGTAAGCGTCTCATAAAAGGCTGGCACACCTAGCAGGACTTCTACAGCGCAGCAAAGTGCCAAAATGGACAGCAGCCATCGCATGCGTGACCTACTCCCATTGGGTTGGCATGGTGACCGTGACCCAGTGCTTCGACCAGGGCCCTTCAGAGGCACCGCCCTTTCTCCTTCCAGATGCTTCCGGGAAGATTGTCGTCTCTCAAGGTAGCGCGCTTACGACACCTCACCAAAAGAGAGGACTCTCAAGTTGGACTCACTTCCTCGCGGTAAGAAGAGATTGAGAGAGTAGATAAGGTAAGGGAACAACGTACCTGGAGATAGCTGCCCCCAACCACAGATTTCTCACCAATTGAGTTGAGCGTGCATTTGATGACCGGCCTTGGCCTCGGTACCACCCACAACGCAATGCAGTGCCACCTCAGCCGAATGCCACATCAGCATGCTCTCATCACCAATCATACATTCCGCCTGTACCCACGGCAATCAATGCTGTCTTAGCCTTCCGGCGCACACCTCTCTACCCAGGTCGTGCGCCTAGTATGGCCTGACGTCACAAGAACCAACTGCGAAGAAGCATCGTCAACGCACCAAGTCTGTATAACGCCAGCGCACCAAGGTAAGTGGCGAATCAAACCAGCTCTGATACCAAATTGCAAGGAAAATGAATGTGGACGAAGCACAGAAATCCAGATTGCAAAATCACACTGAAGTCCAAGTA